AAAACTGCACTACCCGCCGCATCTGCGTCGGCTAAAAAAGAAACTGCAAAAAAGGAGAAAGGCACACGGGGAGCACGGACGAACCGGCATGACAACGACGCAGCGACTGCCGCTCCCCCTGCTCCAGCGGTCGACAACGACACCGACGACTCTGAAGATGAAGCCGGTGAGGCTCCAGTCAACAATGTTAATTTTATTGGCACGGAAAACCTTCCCCCCCTCCCTTCTTCTAATCTTACCTTCTCGGCGGCAACCTTCGTCAACGACTCCGTGCGAGAGCAAGCGGAGCTACTGGAGGACCTGCGGGCGTACCTGCTGCACGCCGAATACAAGGCGCAGCGCGGTGATCCGGCGGGCGGACTCGAACTCATCTCACACGCTCTCAACCTCATCGCGGGGCGTTTCGAGGTGCTTCAAGTGGAGGACGCCTCCGACTTTCGCACGGCGAAGCGCTTTAAGCTGTACCAGCAGAAGAGCCTGCTGACTTCTCGACCCTTCAAGCAGGCGGTCGCGGACATGGCAGCGATGGACCGTGCGGCAAGCGGATACGCTCGTGTCAACCGCGGCGGAAACAACGGGCCGATGCCGTTCTTACCCAAGCGAGGCCCCCCGCCCACGGCCAATTGCCGTGGGTTCCGGGGCTCATGCTTCCGCTGCGGCCAGCCGGGCCACGTGGCAAGTGCCTGCCCTCGGAACGGGCATGGAGGCCAGGGACCCGCTCCGGTGGTGTAGGAGCGGGCCATGAGACTAGGCGCTTGGGCGCTAGGCACGGTGCACTCTTGAGTGCGAAAACCGTGGGCAACCCTAGGGGTTTGCGATGGCAAGAGGCCAGCCCTAGTAAAGGGTGGGATAGGCTTGGGCCTAGGATAGGGAAGGGGAACAACAACCCCTCGGTCCCATATGTTGGCCACTTGGTGGCATGCTAGGAAAGCATTGCTATGTGTGTTGGTTGATTTAATAAAAACTACCTTCCTAAAGGCCTATGGTTTTGGCAAAGAGAGAATGAGAGAAAGCACAATGGACAACGGTGTCCATGGCCCTAGGCATCAGCCCCTACGCACTAAGGGCAGGCACAACCATGTCCTACCAAGTGGACGACGGGGCAAGAAAAAAAAAAGAAAAAAAAAAGGGGAAACGAGGAGAAGAAGAGACATGCGTTGACATGCGTTAATATTCCCGACACATTCGTTGACATTTCATTCAATTGTTCATTCTCTTCACACCTTCGATCAATGGCTGCCCGTACAAGTACGTGCACACGTATGCTTTAACGTGGAATACTCAAAGCTTATACCACTTGGTCTCAAATGTACAGGAGCACGACGGTGCGAGGCGGGATGCCACGACGATCCGTACGAATTTGCCGTTACGGACAGAACTATTACACACATGCGCGGTCGTCTTCGCGCGACATTTGCGTGGTGGAGCTCATGGTGCCCCAGCAGCCTTGTCCTCTCCGTCATCGCCAAGGGTTACTGGTTGCCATGGAGCCACGGCCCACCGCAACATTTCCACGATCGCAATCATGTCGGGGCAAACACGCATGCCACGTTCACACGTACCGCCATCCAAGAACTCATAGAGACGGGAGCGGCAATTCCGATGGCCGCAACGGAGCTTACATGCATAAGTCCACTCAACGTGGTCGAGCAAAAAGACAAATGCAGGCTCATTCTTGATCTGAGGAAAGTCAACGCCAACTTGATCATCCCCAAGTTCAAGTACGAAGGGCTCAGCCGCGTCGCCGACCTTGCGCGCGTTGGGGACTGGATGTTCTCCATTGACCTCAAATCTGGTTACCACCACATCGACATCCACCCATCGTGCTGGAAGTTCCTTGGCTTTGAATTTGATAAGCGCACATACGCATTCCGTTCACTACCATTTGGCCTCGCGACAGCTCCATTCGTTTTCACGCAGCTCATCAAGCAACTAGCTCGGCGTTGGCGAGAACAAGGCATCCGAGTCGTACCTTACGTGGACGACATCTTATTTCTCTGCCAGTCGAAAGAGGACGCGCAAGCAACTTGCCAGCGGGTGATATTGGATCTTAAAGAGGCAGGCCTTGTGATAAACGCGAAGAAATCACAACTGTCACCATCGCAGCGTCTCCGTTTCCTGGGCGTAGAACTCGAGACCGATACCGGCCGATTCTCCATCGGTCCGGACCGACGAGCCTCACTACATGCAACCATCCGGAACCTCCTGAGCGCAAGCAAGGCATGCCGACCAGTCCCGGTCCGCCACGTGGCCAGAATCACTGGCATGCTCGCATCGATGGGTGTCGCACTTGGCGCGACAGCCCGCGCATTCAGCCATGCCATGTTACAAGTGATCGACGACGCACCGTCATGGAAAAGCAGCGTCGTTATCCCCCCATCTGCAGCAGAAGAGCTCCAATTTTGGCTCGAGGAGTTCGACCGTTTCAACGGCGCACCTTTTCACGTCAAGAACAGCTACGACGCGGTAATCCACGTGGATGCCAGCTCTCATGGTTGGGGCGCCACTCTGACCACATTTCCGGGTGGCATCGAAGAAGCTAGCGCAACCATGTCAGAGCCGCTACGAGGAACGTCCAGCACGCGACGGGAGATCGAAGGCGTCCTTTGGGCGCTACAAACGTACGCGAACAAGATCAAGCAAAAACACGTTCTCGTGCGGGTGGACAACCAGGGCGTATTCTTCATCCTTCGCAAAGGCGGCTCTCACAGCCCCGACCTCACAACGGCATGCAAGAGCATCATCCGAACATGCATGGCGCTTGGCACGCGCTTGATCATTGAATGGATTCCGCGCGAGCTCAACACACACGCCGACGAGCTTTCAAAAATGGTCGACCACGACGATTACGCGCTGAAAACGCCGTGGTTCCGGATCTTGGAACGTCGTTGGGGCCCTCACTCCATCGACCTTTTCGCAAACTCCCGCAACACCCAACTGCCGCGCTTCTGTTCAAAGATTCCCCACCCGGCAGCCATTGCAGTTGATGCGTTCTCGATCGCGTGGACACCTGAAAACAACTTCGCCTTCCCCCCACCTCAACTGGTCCCAGCCGTCCTCCATCACGCACAACGCACCCATGCATCACTCACACTGATAGTTCCGCACTGGCCAGGCGCAAGCTGGTGGCCACTCTTGCAACCCTCCCCACGCACTTGGGCACCACACATCCACGCGCACATCCCTCTGACACACGGAAGCCAATGCCTAGACGTAGGGTCCCATTCATCTGCTTTTTCGGGCATGGGACTTCCGCACAGCCCAATCATTGCACTGCGAGTGGCATTTGACTAACTCAAAATATATACACCTTGTGTTCAGATTTGCTCCCAAAGTTACACGACCAACTGATCAACATGCTCGCGCAGTCCCGCGCCGATTCTACGATCCGGACATATGAACCATACTGGGCCAAGTTTCGAGCCTTCTGCACAAAAGTGAACCTTCCATTCCTCCCGGCATCCGACATGACCCTCGCGCTATACCTGGTACACGCAATCCGACGCAAAGCCACCCTGTCCGTAGTGCAGCTAACCTGCTCGGCGGTCAGCTTCGCCCATCGCATGACCGGGAGCAAATGCCCGACAACCGGACCGTTCACCACCCAAGTCCGTGACTATGCAAAGCGACACTGCCCACGCCCTACTCGTCTGAAGGAACCCGTCTCGATCCAACAAGTCCAGGAAATGGCCGCGAGCTACTTGCAGTCCGACGATCCTGCGCAATTTCAGAAAGGGTTGATACCCATCCTCATGTACTCCGGATTCCTGCGATACTCTGACCTAGTAGCCATAAAATGGCAAGACATCCAATTCGACGACGAGGTCATGTGGATTCTCATACCACACTCCAAGACCGATCAAGCTGGTCACGGCACTTGGATACCCATTGCAGCAACGGCGGACCCCTGCTGCCCAGTGCGCTGCACCCGACGCTTCATCCGACTCGCTGGCTATGGCCCACGGTCAGAGGGACCATTGATTCGTGTCTTCGGTCACGGTTCAACCAGCGAGGGCCAGGCTAGGCCACCTTCATACACTACGATCCGGAACTGGTGCAAGGAAGCCTTCGCAAAGGTTGGCCTTGGAGAGTTGCAGCTAGGCACCCATTCTTTCCGAAAAGGTGCAGCCACAGTAGCAGCCAACACGGGAGTGCCAGACAGAGTCTTCAAACGGCTGGGCAGATGGCGAAGCGACACAGCAAAGGAAATGTATGTTACGCCATACGTCGAGCCCCTCATCGAAGCCTCCCGTACCCTACAAGATTCGACGCATGCGGTGTCATCGGCGCAACACACAGAGGCACTCGTACGCAACCGGAGGCCCCCGCTGCCCATGTCTCAGAGACCCCATTTGTAATGAGAACGATGCCAATTGATAAGAAAGAAAGCAAGCTTTCTCAATATTATAATTTTTAAACACACATGTAGTGTTTTTTAAAATTGTGTATTGTGAAAGCGAAGCTGCTTGTACTGCACAATTGGCATCGTCGAAGCGCGCTAAACGCCCTTCTCCAACTACAAAAACCGTGGGTTGGAGCTCATTTCCCTCCACCCACGTTTCTCAATTTTCAAACGGCTCACTCAACATTCCCACCACCCACCCCAGTGTAAACCGCCTTGCTAATGCCACTTGGATAGGGTACATAATAGCTAGTGTTATTAGTCCGCACTTGCTTGTGTCGAACGATGATGCAAATGTTGTAATACGCCATTTGTAATGAGTTCTGTATAAGCAAGGGAGTGCTGTGTTTGCATTGCACAAGATATACCGATCACCAAACCCTAAACCCGTCATGAGAGAATGGTCCCTCAGCGTAGCTAGGCACAGCTACATTTAACACTGATTTTGCAAACTGACAAATTACATGTCCAACACCTGCAAGACCATACCTACTTGTGTATAATACGGCATCACGGTAGAGTACTTGCTTATCTCAAGGCCCCGCAAACGCTACCACCCCAAGAACCCAATGCTGACGCAAACGGGTAGAGGCGAAGCTCATAACAGGGACAGTGGGGTGGAGTGCTTCTGAAATGATGGCTGGGGAATGGCAAGCCTGAAGGGCATGAGGGAGGTGATTGAAGGTCAAAGGTGGAGGCAGTTGGTGCCATTGAAGTGCCACCTATGCTACCCGTGTTACCATGGACTGCCAATAAGCTGCAGTCCTTCGGCTGCTGTGCCACAGCAGCAACATGATGCAATGAATGGAAGTGATGAGAACAGTGATGCTGTGAAGAGCGGTGATGGTGATGGTGGCATGAGGTGGGCCCCAGATGAACCTACTTCAAAGGAAACTGCACCACTAAAGAAAAGGTAGAACAGATAAGGGGGAGGCAAGGAAAGGGGAGAATCACACAGAACAGCCCATGCAACTCTTACACCATCCTCAACCACCCTCAATCAACCAAGCCACCAGTTCACGAATCACACGTAAATCCACCTGACGCATGACACAACCCAACAACCCAAGTCGTGCTCTCAGTAGCATCCAGCACACTTTATACCTTATCAACCTCAACCCCTCATAAAGCTCTTCCTCAAGGCAGGGCCGCCAGCTGCAGGGGATCGTTCAGCAGAGGGCGGCTGTCCAGGCACGTCTTAAAGCCATTGCCCAGCGCCGCTGCCTTAGACACTAGGAGCGAGGAGAGCGGGGAGAAGTGCGCCAGCAGTCCTGGCAGGCCGCACTTAGCCTCTGACGCCTTGCTGCCACCCTTGCCGTTGCCTCCCTTGCTGACGCCACTGCTGTTGCTGCTGGAAGTAACTGCAGATCGCAACGCCTTTGTCTCTGACTTGATGGTTTCTGCGAAACGACAAGAGCAGCGCCAAGAGCAGAGGGATATGGGGGGAAGCGATCAACATCTTGGTAAGAAGAGTGACGACTACTGAGATGCTCGGCCTGTCCCAGTATCATGCAAGAAGGAGGTGGAGATGTGCAATCAGAACATGCAATAGCGAATCACGCACTCTTGGAGCCAGCCGGAGCAGCCTTCCTGGTCTTATTCTCCGCCTTCAGCTCCGTTGCTGCCTTCGCCTTGCGAGATCGTCGCGACCCCGACGGCCAGGACGCAGCATTCACCTGCTGCTGCTGCGACTGCTGCGGCTGCGCCTGCTGCTGCGGTTGCACTGAGCACGGCTGCACCTCCTGCTGCGCCTCCTGCTGCTCCTGCTGCTGCGGAAGCTGCTGCGGGGGTACCTTCTGGGACTTAGGAGACCTGGGAGAGACAGGAGAGAGTGCTATTCCAGTCGGCACACTGCAAGGCCCCACCACAGGCACTTCTATTCTCATCGTGACAACTCCGAGACCGGTTCCCGATGCACCACCACCAGCCACGGCACCAGCACCAGCGACAGCGGCAGACGCTGGCGCCACTGTCGCCAGCTGCTGCTGCACGGGCCCCACGCCCACTGGCCCCGCCGCTACTGCCGCCAACGAGACCGCCGCCTGGGGAAGCGGCGCCGGCGCTGGAGCAGGCGCCAGCGCGAGCGCGGGCTTTGGTATCTGCCAGTGGTGGCGGTGAGGCAGCCCCACGAGCTGCCTCAGTTGCCGGGTCGCCATTCCGCGCACGCGCATCCCCGTAGCCGCCACTGCTGCCGCCGCCGCCACAGCGCCGGCTGCCATAGCGGCGGAAAGCATCCCCAAGGGACCGCCGGCCGCGCGGAAGATTGCGCCGCCGCCTATGGCGGAAGCGTGGGGGAGCGCGCGGCGGAGAGCGACCATGGCGGAAGACTGCACGACGCGCGCCAGGCGCTGGTGCAGGCGGCCGGATTGGATCCCCACGCGGAGGAGAACAGCGGAGGAGAGAGAGGTGAAGGCGGCGTGGCAGGCGGTGAAAACGCGGTAGGTGTTCTCCTTCTCCAGGATGCGCTGGCAGATGATTATAACGGGGTCGACGGGCTGCCAGGGGCGCGCGCGCATGCGCAGGTTCATGTTGGCTCGGATCAGGCGCGCGGAGGCGCGGTCCACGCCGGTGGTGTAGTGCACGAAGGCGTCAACGAAATGCCTGGAGGGACCGTGGCGAAGGTGGTAACACACAACACAAGACGACGTAAAAAAAACAAAACAAAGAATAAACTAAACGGGGAAAAAAAAATCATACAATGAACGAGAGGTCGCTGAGCTGCACTAACTTCCTCAACGTTTCCTCTACTGTTGGCTTGATCCTAGATCTCGCACGCTGCTGGGAGACTGTATCAACGCTTCCACTCCTCTGTCAACTGCTACGAGAGTCGGTGCGCACGGGGGAGGTGGTATTGGGAGGAGGAGGTCCAACCTGCAGTCGTTGCGGTTAAGGAGGTAGTTGAAGTCGAGCGAGGAGTAGAAGGCGCGCATGTCCGCGATAGACATGCGCGTCACGCCAACGCGCACCGCGGTTTCGGGTAACGCGCTTATCTGCGGGGGTGAAAAAGGCCGGAGGAAAGAGGCGGACACGTGAGAGTCAGGGGAGCGTATTAACGAATTGAGGACGAGCAATACATTTCAAGACGACGATTAGAGGAAATGAGCAAAAAAAAAGAACACACAAATTAAAAAAAAACAAAAACATTAAAAAAAAAACACTGAGAGGAGAACAAGATCTTCAAGCTCAACCGTGTGTGACCCCCAACTACTCCCGAAAGATCAAATGAAAGGTTCGGATCGGCCTGAAGCGTACCAGCTCTTCACGGATCTCGCCGTTGGGCGGTGGAATGGCGCAGTCCGCGAGGTCCATCTGGTGGAGTGTGAGGCTCGCCATGCCGCTGCCGTGCCCGCCGCCATGCTGCAGCAGCGCGTTGCACGCCAGGCCCTGCAACCCCATCCGCTGGGCCTGCTGGCGGAAAGAGCCGGTATCGACGCAGCCGCAGCTGCTGCGACCGTCGCTCCGATCTAAAGTGCTGTTACTGTTGCATCCGTCCTTGCGACTGCAGTTGGTGGGAGTGGCAGTGGCGTCGGCGGCGGTGGTGGTAGTGGAGGAAGTGGAAATGGTGGTGGTGGTTGGCTTGCTGCAGCTCATCGTGCACTGCAGCATCTGATCTCGCCGAAGGCCTCCCACGTTGCTGTTTCCGGCGATCTGAAGGCTGCTACTGCTGCTGTTGCTGTTGCTGCTGCTGTTGCTGGCCGGCCGCCATTCCACGTCCTTGCCGCGCGGTCCGAAGTCGAACTGGATAAGCTGGCCCTCTGGGGATCGGATTATCGCCATGTAATGGCACAGGCCCGCGTCTCTCAGCTCGTTCTGCGATTAAAGACGGTTGAAAGCAGTACAGTTATCAGTGATACGGATGGGAATTTATTGAAGAGAGGGGATGGGAAGGAAGGAACCTGTGGCCTACAAACTGATCAGTGTACTGAAAATAGAAGGAAATAAATAAGCGGCGAACACAACAGCCGCAGATCTGCAAGACTGGGATATAATAGTACGATTATTTTGAAAAGTAGCTCCTGCACTTATAGTTGAAGGATGGCGCTAGTAAGCCATGGTGAAAGACGTATGGATCTGCCAGAAGAGACAACAATGATGGTCCGATCGCGTGTCAAATCGCAACAAACACTGACGAGATCTGAGAGAGGGCTATTTCCTCTTTTCAGGTCCACATAAACACGATCTAAGCTTGCGGGCTCGCGATATGCCATGGCCGGACAGATCTACAAGAACGGGCGATTTACCTTGACCGTTGTGGGTAGCCTGTGGTAGAACTGGCCGCTTAGCTCACGCAGAGCTCTGTAACACATAAAGACCTCCCACTCGGTTTGTGAAACATCCATTCCACTCTGAGCCAGTTGCCCCTGGCTCAGCATGCTTTCTGAAGTTAACATGACGTCCCGAAGGCTGGAGGCAAGGCGAGAAAGGACGCCTGAATGATGGTTGGATGTTGCAAAGCGCGAGTGAGCGGGGACGACGCTACTGAAAGAAAGCTTGCGTGAGGAATAGGCTCCTCTCAACACGCCGTGATGTCCGCTTAATGTAAATGCGCGATCTCTGTCAAAACCTCGCGAGAGGATTGCAGAAGGTTTGACGACATCCAAACTTGAATCGACGATCCTATTACTGGGATGTGATCGCAGGTCAAGCACTAGTCACAATGGTTGGAACGGAACCAGTCAGGCAAGAAAACACAAGAATATTCCCCTCTACACCAGCCCGCCTTGAACGGCGCTGCTGGTATATCTTGCGCCTTTCCAGCAGGACTGGCAAGGCCAAGATAACAATCGAGGCTGCTAGGGGTTCTTGAATGCGTCGGATGGAGCAAGGTCCTGCTGGTCTGCGGATTGCGGAGAGTGGAGTGGAGTGGAGCATGAGGGAGAGAATGGGGCGACGCAATGGGGCAATGCAACCGCCAGGAGCCAGGAGGCCAACACAGAGCACAGTACAGTAGTCAGGCAGGCGAGCAGGGCTTATCGCTTTCGCTTTTCCCTCGCCTCTGACCTGCCCCCGTCGCGGCTGTGATAGACCAGGCCAGCAGAAGGGAGCAAAACGGAGCAGACAGCCGAGCAGTCAGCCAGCGCACTGCGCGCATGCGCTGTGCTGGTTGACTCGAGGGAGCTGAGCGGAACGAACTGCGCTGCACTGCAGAGGTAGGGACCCCCCCGTCGACCACAACCGACCACGCAGAGTGGCCGTCGTGGAGATCGAGGGCGCGCGGGAGCCGTTTGCTGTTGCTGCGCAACCAACCAGCTCTGCCCCGCTAGCCAATCTCCTCAATCGCCGTCTCTTGCTTCACAGTTTGCCCCTCCGGGATTGGTGGACTTGATGGAGAGTCATGTGACGGGATCGGGGGAACATTTGGCTCCCGATTCCGCTCGATTCCTTCCAGAAGTTCCATAGGAAGCGGACATGCGCGCGAGGTTTCGCGTGCTCGAGGTTGGAAGTTTACTGGAGGGGAAGGCTTGCGCTTTTTGGCTGTGTCTCGAATTGCGCCTCCCCGGATTCCGAGGTCAATTGGCACATGTCGCTGCTTGGGCAAATGGTCTGCGGAAGACCAACCTGGCCTTGCACAGCTGTGGTGGCGGTTGTGGAGGGAAAAGATTCCCAAACGAGGTAAAAGCGGGAAAAAAACAGAATCAGTGAGGTTCGGCGTTAGGCTTGACGTGACGCATGGACCAATTGGAGATTACCTTGGACATTTGGTAGGTCGTTTGGCTCACACGCCTCTGACGAGCAGCTCCAAGCAAGGCTACAGGCTCGGGATTCAAACATTGCCTCGATGGCGGATTCCATATGCGTGTGTGTGGGTGCAATCAGCATCATCTCCAATGCTTTTGTGCGATTCCGACAGGTGTGGATTTCTCCGCTTAGTAAAATAGATCTGTTGGCAGCGGCACCCAGCATCTGGGTAAGGCGAAAGCTCATTCGCCAATTCCTCGTTAACATCGGCTTTCATTTGCCACATCACTTCGAGGAAAGTGCCACGCTCCAAGGAATGAGGACACCTGGAGCAAATATTGTGGCTTTTTTTGCGGGAATCTGGGGCGCACTTGTGTCTGACACGAGGGTATCAATGCCAAAGAGTACAACCAATCACAGTCGTCGGATAAAGTCGTGCTTTTGCACAGCCCATCACCTTCAGTCCTTGTGCCTGTGACATTTGAACGAGGGAAAATCTGCGAATAGTGACGAACTGGGGCCCACTAACGCGTATTGTAACCAATAGTTACTGAATACGATTACAGAACGAGGATTGCACTAAGGCTGGCAATCTAGTACAAATGTGAGCATAGGCACGAGCAAACATATATATCGAAGCATGCAAATGGTAACGTGGTGCGTGCGAGCTAGCTAGTGCGATGCTCGCAGCGAGTTTGGGCTAGTCCCAAAGTGTAGGCCGACTCAAGTCAGTCCAGAGATGCATGATTTGGGAATTACCAATTGATGTTACGATATGAAAAATGAGCAAGGAATTTTTGTATGCTGCCGGAGCCGACTTTGCCGAGTACGAAGTCAAGGAGTCAGAAGATTCAAAGAGACACCAGCAGCTGTCAGATCAAGACCGATGAAGGCAGAAGCATTTGAAGTGAAAAACGCGGGAACGGATTTGAAACGGGTTCCCGCGCCGCACAAATCGAACTTCGCTATAATAAGGGAATGTATCCCTTAGAGTACATGGCTAGTCTAGGTCGTTTCACATTCCTCTGCATTTCCTACATAAACTCGATCTATGCATGCTACCGTAATCCGCCGGATAAAAGACCCCCCTATAATAAAATACATGGGTCTTTAATACCGGGGGGGTGGGTATATTATTCAAGACAGTTTTCCTTATACCCCACAATTGGGGTGAAATCATAATAAGACCCCCCCCAACCATAAAAGTGTTTTTCATAGGCTAATTCATGTCAATTAAGCAAGCAATGGCACATGTTCATCCATAGGAGTCACAAAATACAATCAAGGCAGCCTCTCAAGACCTGGTTACCATAGAATATGGGCCAATGAGCATGAAGCATTCAGATGCTTCATAGATTGTTCCCAGTTTCTGTCAGAACATATAGCTTACCTGTTTGTGTAGGCTACAGTGGGGTATCCCATAAGGGGTACAACACAATTAGGTTTCCCATTTTGTACCACTTCTGACTTAGTCATTTCATTCCTGTTTACCTATCTTCACATGGTATAGAGCGGGTCCCTCTTAAGGACCGATTTTTTTTGGGCCCACCCTCGATATTCTCTCTGCCCGGAGCGCCCTACTCTCCCCGAGGCGCGCTCCCCCCCCCCTCCCCCTCAGTGCATTTCCCGCTGCCTTTGTGGGCCCCCCGCGAGTAGCGCGCGAAATTTTTTTTTAGCGCGCGCGGCTCGGGCCCACGTCGCGCGGGCTTTACGGCCGCGCCGCGCCGCCCTCTCGGCCCGGCTGTGCCCCGCCGCCCTCGAATCGGCCACGCGGCCGCTTCGTCCCGGCCGCGGGCCCCGTTTTTGACGGCCCCGCCGTCCCTTTTTTGACGGCCCGCCGCTGCATTCTGCCGGCCCCGCCGTTTCCTGTCACGGCCCCGCCGTCCCCTCTCCCGGCCTCGCCGCTGCACCTTCCCGGCCCGCCGCTGAGCCTTGACGGCCCGCCGCTGCACCTTTTGACGGCCCGCCGCTGCACCTTTTGACGGCCCGCCGCTGCACCCTGACGGCCCGCCGCTGTACCTGCTGACGGCCCGCCGCTGCACCCTGACGGCCCGCCGCTGCACCCTGACGGCCCCGCCACTGCACACCCGGCCCCACCGTCCCCTGTCCCGGCCCGCCACTGCACCTGTCCTGACCCACCGCTGCACCTGTCCCGGCCCGCCGCTGCACCTTTCCCGGCCCGCCACTGCACCTGTCCCGGCCCCGCCGGCCTCTGTCCAGGCCCCGCCGCTGCACTGCAGCCGGCCCGCCCAGCAGCAGCCGAGCCGCCCAGCAGCAGCCGAGCCGCCCAGCAGCAGCCGGACCGCCCAGCAGCAGCCGAGCCGCCCAGCAGCAGCCGGACCGCCCAGCCGCAGCCGAGCCGCCCAGCAGCAGCCGAGCCGCCCAGCAGCAGCCGAGCCGCCCAGCAGCAGCCGGACCCCCCAGCAGCAGCCGAGCCGCCCAGCAGCAGCCGGACCGCCCAGCCGCAGCCGAGCCGCCCAGCAGCAGCCGAGCCGCCCAGCAGCAGCCGGACCGCCCAGCAGCGGCCGAGCCGCCCAGCAGCACCCGAGCCGCCCCACAGCTGCCGAGCTGTCCGGGAGTCGATCCGCCTTTCTGCTGAGCTGCACGACTTGCCCTGCCTGGTGAGCACAGTCCCTCTGTCACTGCGCCCTCTTTCCCTACTGCTTGCACTGCTTCGCTGTCGTCATCATGGCCACCCCTAGTGTCCTAGCCTTTGACGCCGAGGGTCGAGCCATTGATTTTGAGGTCTGGCTAGACGACCTGCAGCTTTTCTTACAGTGCGACAGAGCTGACAGCCTTTCTCTCTTTGACCTCACCTCTGGCGCCTCTCCTGCTCCTGCTGCCGATGCTGATCCCACTGTCCGCTCTCAGTGGGCCACCCGCGATGCTGCTGCACGTCTTGCTGTGCGTCGCCACCTCCCTACCTCTGAGCGTGCGCACTTTAGTCAGTACAAGAGTGCTCAGACCTTGTACGACGCTGTAGTTGCGCGCTACTCCTCCCCTGCCACTGCTGCACTGAGCCGTCTCATGCTTCCCTACCTCTTTCCTGACCTCTCTGTCTTTCCCACTGTCACTGACCTCATTACGCACCTCCGCACTAGTGACACTCGCTACCGCGCCGCCCTTCCTGCTGAGTTCTGCGCTAAGAACCCCCCCCCCATGTACATCACTCTCTACTACGTAGTCGCGCGCCTCCCTGACTCCCTCCGCGTAGTCAGGGACCACTTTCTCGCAGTCTGTCCCACCACTCTCACTGTCGACCTCCTCGAGAAGGCCCTCCTCGCAGCGGAGAAGAGCATAGTCGCTGTAGGTGCCTCTCGTGGTGACCCTCGCACCCCCATCTTTGAGGGGTGCTCTCCTTCCCCCTTGCTGCCCTCTGTTGCCTCTGCTGCTGCGGCCGACCTGCTTGGTCTTGAGTCGGTCGGCGCGGCGTCTGCCCCTAGTGGGAGACGTCGCTCTAGCAAGGGCAAGGGGGGCAAGGGCGCGGGCGGAGCTGGAGGGGGCGGTGGCGGTGGCGGCGGAGGCGGCGGAGGGAGTGGGGGTGGCGGCGGGAGTAGTGGTGGTGGTAGTGGTGGTGGTGGCAGCAGCGGCGGAGACGGTAGTGGTAGTGCCAGCGGTGGTGGTGGAGGCAGCAGCGGGAGCGGAGGCGGTGGAGGTGGAGGCAGTGGAGGCGGCGGCGGAGGAGGCGGTGGTG